CTCCCAGAAAAGTTCATCAGTTTTTTGAGAAATATGTAGACAAACCTTCTTTGAGAAAGTCGAGGTGACAAACACTCCACAGCAGAACGATGAGATGCGTTGTTGTTAAATTTGGTGTTTCCAACACTTTCTCCAACCGCCAATGGTACTTTACAGCCTCGTTCAGGTATCGATATAGCAATGCGTGGAGAAGGATTCTTTGGCCTAAAACATGGAAAAACAATCTATAAAACGACTGATCAAAATCATTATTTCATGATCACCATTATTAACGATGTTCGAATACCGTTTGATGAGCCAATCTATTTGTTTTTTATAGAATGTAATCATTAAAGTGCAGATGTACCTAATTGGTGCAGCAGAAGGTCGATAGAGACATGCTTGAGCATTAGGTATATCTGTCGAAGAAGATGTATCATGTTTCCGAACATCATTACATCCCTGACTGCTATCACTTTTGGAGCACACTACACTATTTTGAATGGGTAATACCAAATGTTTCCACTGTTTCAGCAAACAAGAATGACGGAATGCTCGCTGTATTCGTGTGGCAGCTGTATGAGCGCGTAGACGGCCACCATACTGACGCTCCAGCACCTAAAAAAGTTGCAGTAATGTAGCCGTAACAGTGAGAGACAGTTAAATGATTAGATCGTCAAAGACGAATGCATAGAAAACATTGTAACACGTAAATTTCGATATATTTTTAGCATGTTAAGAAAAATCTCTTTCTCACCTGAAGTTGCCGACGACAGAGGTCATCAGAAATTTCGTAACTCGTGAGAGCACGAACCGATATGGTTGGACCACGCCACTCGTTCAACATTCATCAACCCAATATTCTAATAATATTTTTTCATGACAACAGTAACAACTCTTATAATTTATTATAATAAATACACGTAAATGCGCGTCGTTCTGCACCTAGGATTACTCTTCAGAGTTGAATAAAATTAATTATCAGCCTTAAATTCATCGACTTTTTTTTAGAGTTTTTAAATTGAAAGATAATTTCAATAAAAGATAATCCCTGCGAATATCCTAAAATCTCAAGCAAATAGACTAAAAGATGTGATCAACAAAACGCCTTTCCACCGTTTAACAAACAGTAGACAAGTTATGCACCTAACAATATGGCAACCCTTTACAAACGACTCCACTGTTACGAATGAAAATCATTTTTACTGATAAATATTGAAAAAATCGATGGAAACCAACGTAGATTATAAACCTAACAGTCACAACGAACAAATTCTTCATGTGACATATGGCATGGGATGAAACTCAATTCCTTTTATTTCAAGAAATTCCTATTTGAA